TCACCCTAAGAAGGATATTATGGCTATTGATCAAAAATTTAGTCGCACTTATTATACATCGATATCCTGGATCCCGCTTTTCTGAATTTATCGCTCCTCACCTGACCACGATGCTTTCAATCCAAAGACGAAGGAAGGCAATGAAAGGACCAAACGCCTCCATTATGTATGCATAGTCGCCTCCAGACTTTGTAATCAACGTTCCCAATTCAGCATAGCAATATGCACCGAGGGCACACCAAAATCCGCACACGATCCATATGATAAGTGATAATCCCACGGAACCAGCTCCTCAAATATAATGCTTGATAAATAGCGATTACGACTTCTGTTACCTGCTTCGTGTACTTGAAGTGGTGGGTTGTTTTCGTCAAACTAAGAAGGGCAAATCAAATTATTTGTTGGAAACGGTGGACCCATTGGGGCTCTCACAACACTAAATAGCATTTCCATGATGAAGAGCTCTAACGAGGTAAACTGAGAGAATGTTTAGCACGTGAAACCCAGCGTTGTTAGCCATTGCAATGTACCCAAGCTGAAATTAAAGTCTAAGTTTGTACTGTCGAAGGTAACATAAAAGTACCTCATCGTTAGAAACCCCAGGTTTTTGGGCGTGGTTTCCGAGACAGGCGGAACTTTTTAGATTGCCGAAATTTCCGATAAAAAGCGGTTGTTCCAGTGAATGGGTCATTTCCTGCTTTTTAGGCTTTTTAGGATTTATTACATCGTTCGCAGGTCGTTTTCGCCGCAGTAATGTTGCATGTCGATCTTACCGGCCGATAAATCGAGTCTTTCCATTAGGATAGCAATGGGTGACTGTGTCCTTAGGTCCTTTACACAAGTAGCCCTCCCTCACCACACCGTTAGATCAGAATGACTTACAGAAATGACCAAAATGATTGTATCCATATCAACCAATGTGTGAAAATATGATAGTTTCATAGCAATCGGTTTGTAGAGCGTGAAGCGGTCGTTTCCCACCAGCTACTTCGCTGACCAAAGTTGAACAAGCTCCAAAAAAACTATTTTACCTTCCTGCACTCCTGTAGGACTAACGAATATACCCGAGCCGATAATACAACCAACGATCATGGTCACGCAGTTGGTTAGGGTTAGCGTTCTAGCTAAACCCCTCCCTGTATCCTAAAAGAAGTGATTCTGAGCACCGCCATTACCGTCTTCTACATAAGAAGTAATCCAGAAGTCAAACTGACCACTTCGTCATCTGGCACGTTTCTATCCACTGGTCGAGACTTCTTTTCTTTAGTTTTTTCACTTGGTTCAGCAGAACCGCTTGGAGCGGTTTCTTTTTTGCTGGTATGGTCTCCTCCTGACGTATCCTTTTCAGATGGAGGGGCAATTGTCGGACTACGGGAGCTTCTTTCCGCATTGTCTCCGCCGAGAATCTTCGCAGCTCCTAAACCTGTACCCTGCGACAGGTCGTTGGCTCCAAAAACTTTTGCCATCTGAAATTGAGTAAATATCGCTGAGAGAATCGTAGAGATTGCAAATGTTCTAGAAACGTTTCGATTTGAGACCTTTTCACCGTCTGGAATGGAATCGGCTCCTCAACTGTTGCGAACCGCTGGTATCTTCATCATATCACTGTTTAAGAATCTCGAAAACACGTGAAAAGGAACAAACGCACATAACAACGTATGATATCACAAGATAACCAGTTTCTTTCATACTTCGGTAATCGGTGCGGTATCGATTTCAAAGGGTGTGAGTGCACTTCAAGAAGTTAGGGAAGCCTATATCGGTCACGTGAAAATTCTGCCCTCTCCAGAGAATTTGGACTACCCGAATAATGTGCAACAAGTTTTGTCCAGAGCAAGCAACCTTTTCTTTGACTTATTTTTCCTTCAAACATACGTGCTGGAAGAGCATTCACCCCTTCACACACATTTCTGCACAGCCTACAACATATTACATCTAGGGAGAGCTGGCCAGTCTGCGGTACCGGAAGAGGCCACACTTGGCTACAATTCAAAACCTTTTCAACCCCGTTACTCGCTCCTCAGCCAACTCGGGCTCGGGGCAGCTTGTAAATGAATACGTCAACAATCTCGGTTGGGTTCCGTCTTCGCGTTTGTGGGCGTGAATTCCAGGAAGTGAAAAAACTTCTTCACACCGATTGTGATTTGCTAGGTGATGTAGGTGATGAAGTGCGTGGAAAGGACTTCCGTGATCAGCGAAGGAATCGCGCACCCACATATGTCATATGGAGTAAAGGTGGGACGGGTAATGGCAATGAAAGTGACAACAGTTGAAAAAGGTTCACAAGAACCGTTAGAAGGCTGGCGTTACCACATTCCTTGAGGAACTCCCCGTGACGATAACAATGGTCGTACCGGAAAAAGGGAAGATGGTTGTATAAAGGTGAGTGGATGGAAAAATAGATAATGGATGACAAGAAGTGATACTGGTCAAGAAGGACTGATCGGAGCCAAGAGTTTTTAAGAACACCAAAAAAGCCAACCAAACCGTGCACGCCTACTCCAAAACCGTGAGTTTTAGAAATCTGGAGATCAGGAAATCAATGCCGTTCTCATTGCTCAAAAAGAAAACCACCTCGTGTTAAGGGTGACAAGGGATGAGGGTCTTATATACAATGGATAAATCTCATGTTTGTTAGTACAAAAATGTTAGTTGCGGCTGGCAGGAAGTGATAAATTATGATAAAATCTAGTGGAGCGGTGTAAAAACAGCTGCTACAAAATAATACTCGACTCCAGGGTCGGCAATCGAAGGTTTGCACTTAAGTGTATTATGTAAGGTGGAACCGATACATTGATGGTGGGTGACAGAAAAAAAGAATTGATAAGGACCGGTACGTCATAATCTGAGTTAGGGTAACCCCCAAATTATGGAACTTACTCCTTTTCCGGTTCAAATCTCTCTTTTCTGGCTTACTTACAACTGGAAATAGATAGCTAACGAGGCAAGAGATCAATCCTTTACTACTCGTAGCGACCCATGGAGCTCACCTTGTAAAGATCGTAAGGATTTCAACCCACCTAGAAAAGTTTCCCAAACAGGCCCCAAAATAGTGTGAATCTGGTCAGCCCCATGATGATCCATCCGGTTAGAGACTAATGGTACTATTCGTGCTCGATAGCAGGATGAAATGATGAAGATTTTGGGGTCTGATCAATCCAATTTTAGGCTAGGTCCAGCTCTCGACTTCCATCAGAATCGTGTCAGAGTTATTGAATGCCTATACAATGACTTGGGCAACTAGCTGATACCCTGGGTAGGTATCAAGCCGTGATTCTATTCCCGGACCATGCATGTGCTAGTGTAAGTCCGTCAGTTGGCTCTGCATCACCTTCGCCCAGAATATTATGACAATGACTTTCAGAACAATGAAAAATTTTATTCATTAAAAATGTCTTGGACTTTAATGAAAAGAACAGTTGATCTTTTGACAGCAATAAAGAAAAAGGCTTCAACGAGCACATCCTAATGTTATATGTAGTTCAATGCTTTTTGTTGTCGTCCACCAGCATGAATAGTTTCTGCCAAAAAACTGTGAAATGGTCTGGAATAGTCAGTATTTTCATAAAGAGCTGTAACAAGATGACAAAAATGATGTGGACGCTAAGTGGTATTGCAGGGATGATCTCCTCAATTCCCCACGAAATTAGAGGGTTGTTTCTGGCGACCTGGGCCATTTGTTCTTCATACGTGACAACGGATGTGGATTGTGCAGAATAGAGCTACAGAACGCCGAGATCTATATCATTAGCTACAGAAAATTTCGTTTAACTTACACATAAATTTCTTAAAAAATTTTGGAAGTTTTCCGAAACGGATAAATATAAAATATATTGGCACAGCCGAGAAAAGTAGAATCAGTCCAAAAACTGAAACTAGGGAAGAATTATGGATCAGACCTTTCTTTTATAAAAATGTAGGTGACGTTACGGTTTTCCAAAAACGAGTATATGAAAACCCGTCTCCATACAACACATTAGAAATGAATTACGCTGTTTTTCAAACCTCCAATTTAGTCTGTAATGTTTGAATTGGGCCATCATACTGGCTTGATTTCGCATTCTCAGTTCGTTACGGCTCTTCCATTTCGCTAACAGAGTTAGCTGCTATATGTAGTAGTATAGTGTACAAGCCCAGTATAGGCCAAATTCACTACTATTAAGAAATCTATTTGGGTTCTCGGGTGAGCCAGGAGTTGGCACGCCGTTATCGCCGAGGAGACAGGTCACCTTCTGGCTATACGCACACTATTTCTTATCCGCGATTCGAATGCAGTACGCTGTATACCTCGTTTTGCGAGGGATCTATATGAGCGAGTCCCCCCCCTCCCTCCTCTACTCGTGACCTGCTGATTCCACATTGTTGTAGGGCTTTGGCGGGGAGACGGGCGTTAGGAACGATTTTAGGTAATCGATTGGCCGCACGCGGCTGTCGCGGACCACTCATTCGCCGTTATTACAGCTCTAGCGTTCTTCGTACAGCTCAATCGATATGCGATCATTATTTTATCCATAATTCTACTATTAGTACTTTTGTTTTGTATTTCTTACCTACTGCTGCATCCTGCTACATTCCTTCGCCGCGACGCCCCTCTCACTGTGACGCGACCATTTCGTTCCTAACGCACCACACCCGCTTTGGCGGCTTATCCAGGCGGATCGGCTTTTAGTAATAGTTTTGCTGGCTCTGTTCACTGGAGGAATTCACCATCTCGTCAATTATTAGCTGGATGTCTCACACTGAGGTGTTCTGTTTGGGCCGTAACCTTCACCCAGTGGGCTGCCGTTGACAAACGATTGGACTGTGGCTGGAAGGAAAGGCTGTTAGAATCTTCAGTACCTGTGTCTCTTGGTGCGCCGAACACCGACAAGGCCACAAAAGCCAAAGAACCAACTGCGAACACAATTGGTATTCCAATAAATACCTTAATGTTCAAATTAGTCGGAATACTCGGTATCCCTTGATAATCCTTTGGAGCCATAGATTTTAGACACAGCTGGGCACTTACAATTGACGTGCCAGTTCACGATAAAATGGTTTTTGAAATTTCTCTAGAGGCACTCAAAGTGACCGTGTTATGCTGACATTGTTATTACTGCACTATTCACAGGGCGAGACAAATAGTGCGTTGAAATGAGAGATATCTAGACGGCCATCTCGTACAACACCCTTTTTTGAAGCCTTATATTTTTTCTAAACCCAACAGTTCCCGTGCTTTCTTCGTCACACTTGCATTATTCGGCATCACGGCTTCCATTATTTCACTTAAACAGACACCCAAAAATTATCGTGAACTGGGCTTTTGAATGGTTGGGCCTGAAGTCATTTTGACGCTGATTTTTCTTTCGAAATCGAACCAAATGGCCACCTATGTGGTCACCCTGGTCAAGGAAACCATAGGTCATCAATTTTGTAAGAAGGAGTTTTTTGTATACACCCCTCTTCTCCGCGATTCTGTACAAGAGGTTGATTCATCGTGCCTTCAACCCATTTTAACTCTTTACAGCATCTCCAACATTACCTTTACCGGCCTATGTGCATCAGGCATCGTCCAGCGGAGTTTGACCAATGCTAGCCCAGCAATAGCAATAGCCAACCATACTGTACATTGACTTGCATTGATGAGTACATAGATATGTCCAGCTATTAATAAATAAAAAATAGAAAGTAAGCTCTGAAAACTGTTCATTTATAATTGTTTACATGTTATTTATTCTGGGAGTTACTAATGGCTACCAAACTCACTACCATCATCGAGAAGGTATTGTTGTTTGCCTGGTCTTTTCATTGAAAAATGACTACCTTACATGGTCAACTTACGGTGAATATCACTGACGGTATAGGAGTTCGATGCTTTTTATTAATCATCGTCAAAATCACTGGCATTTGGCCTTCACGAGCCGCACAGAAAAACAGCCTATAAGGTGACCATCATTCTAATTTATATCGCGAATGGGAGTATAGAGAATAGTGGTAAGTTGCTCAGAATCACATCCATGGTCCGGCGATCAAAACCCGGGTTGATATCCGCCCAGATCAACTAAGCCTTCCACATTTCCATAGTTGGTTAATTGCTACTAGACCTAATTGTCGAGGAGGATAAAGCACAGCCTTGTACACAGGCTGGCCACTGCAAGTATAGGCCATACACCCATCCAAACCGCTGCTACGATCCCGTATGGAAGTCGAATGTTGGGCGAATCAATTCCAGCAATTCCCTCACACATTTTCAAGCGGTCGTTTAGCTAATCCTTAATTTAGGATACTTTTGTAGAAGTACAATGTAACAGTAGAATCCCCTACCTTGAGCTAGTCATAATCGTACCGTTCACTGATCCAAAAGTAGAAATAGCAACAAAAATTGGCATTATGAAAGCGAATCTTCCAAATTCTTTCTCAGCAAACAACTGGAAGTAGAATTATGGTGTGTAGGGTAGAGTTTGAAATCCAAAATGCAAAGAGTGGTACTGTAGGTCAACTGGCTGTGGTAGCAATTGAAGACACGAGAACCTACCCCAGCTACGGCAGGAGTTATAAGCATTTCATCAGGGGAAATGACAACATACAGAGCAATATTAAACAGAACGTAGACGGCAGTGACTATTGTCATTGAAATAAAGATTGCACGAGGTAAATTTCTGAATGATCGAATAAGGGTTTCATAGATTCAATCAGATGGAATACGGTAGACTAAAGCAGGATCAAGGTTGATGTACTATCATAGACCTACTTTTCTGGATTGATCAACTCTTCTGTTATGAAATTCAGCCATGTCCACCCTTGATAGGCGAACAGACCGGAATAGAACCCTACCGCTGGTCCTGATAGGTGACGAAAATTGCCTTCAAATAGGTGCTCGAATGATTCTCGATATTGTGGGCCACCTGAGTTGAAGATCTTCGCATTCTTACTGCCGGAAAACACTTCGTGACTGAGTAAAAGATTCTGTGGCACAGCAATCAAGGCAGGAAAGGAATCATCGAAACGTGACCAATTCCTCTGCCATCTTATTACTTGGGGCCTTTATTCGTGTTTGGCCTTTCTTTTACACTTTTTGATTCTTCCCGAACCCACTATACCATCAATGGCAGGAGCGATGATTTACGCCATTCGGCTATTTCAGCAAAGGGCGTAAGTCATCGTTCCTGCCATTGATGGTATAGGGGGTTCAGGAAGAATCGAAAAGTGTAAAAGTGGGGAGCACGAAGCCACACCAGGAAGTGGCAGGGTTTAATTATTCGGGGGCTACGAATTTGGGAGATGGAGCAGAGTCACCTCGCAAATGGCTGCTAGCTCGATGGGGAGGAGATGGGGTAGAGATGGGGTAGGTTCATCATCAAGGTTGTTTTCGACTATGAACCAGAACCATAAAAGTTGATGCCCGGGCCTCACACAACAGGTCGTCCCTTGATGGATACTCAAGGCTTTTGTATTGCTCAATACCGAACACTTCCCCAGATGATTCATTCCAACCCTATCCATCTAGGATATCTGAGTAAGGAGATTTATGGGAAAGAATCTTAAGTGTCACACCAACATCGACGAATAAACTGTCACAAATTATTGATCTCAATGCTTCAGGATAAGCATAAGAATCCTGAACCCAAATAGCACCCTATTTCGAGGGAACCAAAAACCTGAGCAGCTTACCAAAAATCAAACGGTATAGACCAGTGGTTATGACTGAAATCAGGGCTAGAACTTTTCCATATGTGAACCAATCTTGTACGGCTGCAGTCACTTTAACCGACCAACAGTTTACTCCACATAGGATAACTGGAATGACTATAAACTTAAATGGAAGTCATAACAGCATAATTCTAAGCAAGTCAGTTCTTTAAGGTTGAGCGTATCTATAAGAACACGATTTCTTACGTATCATTGCTGCAGCCATAAGTTCTGTACTTCCAGCTGGTGGATTACAGTTGGGAAATATCGGCCGTAGCAGGTATAGGGAAAAAGTCAAAGCCATTACAGTAATAGCACATGGTCTGGAATGAATGAGCAGGATTGCATTGACCAAGTTTACTTGTGCTTCTACTGAACTTTATATTTTGCAAATTTTCAGTATTCTAGGGAACAGGTCTCAGATTCACATAGACCTGATTCTCGAAAAGTCCTCTCTCAATCAGCCGCGATCGTAAGCGCTCGGTAATCTGTGGAACTCTTAGCCAGCTCCTAAGCTTTGGGCGAAGCCTAAGTAACTATTCTTCTAAATTAGGTCTTCTTGCCCTCGTAGCACTGTACAGTTTCTGATAGTGGATTAAAGAAGAGAATCAGCTTACCGGTGGAGGAGAAGGAAAGGAAGGGAGGTGAATAAAGGCTGTTAATCCTTCTGGTGAAAGCGGAATGGACTCCTTAACCTCCTTTACTGTCCTTACCCCCTTCTCAAACCTACTTGGGACAGATTCCATTGGAAATAGCTGCATTCCTCTGGAATCACTGAAAAGCAAGAGGAGAGGGGGGCTACACTGGAGATAGCAAGAACTCGGATGGACTTGGTTGCCTCGGAACTCCTGTAGGGACAAGAAAAAAGGCAAGCTAGCCTACCTGACTACTATGGCTTCAATCCAGACACGAAGAAATGCAATGAAAGGACCAAACGCTTCCATCAGATACGCATAATCCCCTCCAGATTTTGTAATGAGCGTTCCCAATTCAGCATAACAGTAAGCACCTACAGTACACCAAACACCACACACAATCCATATAATTATTGATGATCCCACAGAACCAGCTCCTGAAATTGCTTTTCAACAGTCCTACATTTTCCTGTAGAGTAAGGCCTCGATATTCAATATTCGCCCTTTCAAAACAAGTTGTCATCTTTTTAGAAGTAAACTACTGCAAGATATGCAATTTGTTTAGAGAGTGTTCTATAGATCACCTTCTTGGACTCCTTGAGGACTTACGAATATTCCAGAGCCTATGATACATCCAATAATCATTGTCACACCATTTGTTAGGGTTAATGATCGTGCCAAGCCTCTTTCCGTGTCCTCGACAAAACCACTATTAGTTATTGAACTTTTAGAAAATAAAAATGTGAAGAATGGATGAACGTTTCTGTGCGAATGCAGCCTCCTCTTCCTCTCACCTGAGGACTTAGGACAGCAGATAGCCAGGTAAAAAGCCGTAACCGCCCTAGACTTGAATCTTCTCTCCATTCCAAAGTCATTATGAATAATAAGACACTTCTGAGAATCCTTCATCCACATGCACCATAACATCTTCCCTATCCGCTAGACACCTACATACTCTATATATAGATGTCCCTTACAATGCCACTTGCCAAAATAGTGTCCCTTACACACTGCATCCAACAATAAGAATATATCAAGCGCAGAGTAGGCTGCTGTAGGTATGATCTAGACCTCCAGCCGCCTACCTTCCTAGGTCTGCTGCCGTGTCCTCCCGTTATTCATCCAATTGCTCCAGCGGGTGCCAGTAACGTGTCCATCTGTCCATGTCACGAGCCAGTGTAGTTCAGTAAGTCTTCAGGGCAGGCGGACACGATGTATATGGCTCCTTTCGTTCAAAGCATGGTTAAAGACCATAGAAATCTACCTCAACTGAACTTATCGAAGCCCTGAACAGCTTTGGTAGACAATGCTTCCAGGGAGGAGAAGCATTTCAAGGGTATCTGGTGGAGCGCAAGATAACGATGAACTATCGAATTTCGAGCTCTACACAGGTTCATTCAAAGGGCGTATTAGGGGGTGAGGGGGTCCTTTCAAGAAGGTGTGACAGAGATTAGGAATCCGGGAAAGAAGAGGGCTTCATGCAGGCGGTTTGCTTGTAAACGGTCTCCATTTGTGTCATAGACTGCACTCACTGTCACGGATTGTCAAATGCTTCTGAAAAAAGGAACGTGCCTCTTTATGGCTTTTTTGAGCACTTTCTGTTCTCGGTAGCATTGCTTGTCTTTCATCGCTTCCTTCTCGACTGGGCCCGCCATCGTCGTCTCCAGTGGTTGTTTTAGGAGAATCTTCTTCTGAATCGGCACTTTTGGCAGCTTTCCGTTCTGCTTCGTACGAGTCGAACTTTCTTGCAGAACTCTGAGTGATTGCATTGTATGTGCTTGTAGGGCTTGCCATCCTAAAAGACCTGACTTCGATCGAACTTCACATAGACTTCAACTAACTTTGAGCTTGAAACAAGTAGTCTCACCAACCTCGAGGGAAGTCGACAATTGATTGAAGTGGAATGACTTCATTTTTCATATCGATGTTTTTGTAGATATTCCAATCTTATATATTTCGAGGGATGATAATCCGAAATTGTCGATAACACTTCATTTCTTTCTAATAGGCACAAGTTGCCCGTGAAAAACAAAAGCTATAAGTCAACGACAAACTTCACCGTCGCACACCGCTACTGACCGGACCTGTTTCCGTCAATCCCTGAACTACCTCTTTTGCGAGGCACACCTAATACTTTGATTTTGAGTTATGTTCTTAGCACTCCTTAGCTAGCAAGCAATGCAAATTGCCTCCGCATCTCACTCAATGTCGCATGGCTTTCGAAAGGATAATTGATCTAACCAGCAGTGTAATCGGATGAAAGAGTATGGCTCAGAAAGTCAGTTTTTCAATCCACTGACACTATAGATGATGGAAGGCAGTTCATTTCATTTCGGTTTTGCAGCAAGGGAATATTGGGGATTACTGTACCTTCATAGCCGCAATATTGACTTACTACAACTGAAACCAAAGTGGATGCACCTCTCGTGTGTATCCTTCCAGCGCCCATTTCGTTACCCTCCTTGACCATCAAAGAATCCTTGGCACGAGAAGAGTGAGGAAAACATTACAAGATAATTTATTCAAAACAGGCTCTATAAAATAAGTCTTCATCAACAAGCTAATCGAGGTCATCGAAAATCTCCTCCGTGGCACGTTTTGGTGGTGGATTTTGACGATCGCATTCGGTCATCTCCGATTCTTCCGCGGTTTCATAGGCGTCTTCCGTCTAAGAATAAAAATTAATGCAAGTTCTCTGAGGAATGCCGTATACACTATCTCACCTCAGATCGTCCAGTATGTATCGATCCAGCTTCGAAGTCAGAGTCAGAGAAAATTTCATCTTCTTCTTTCTTCTCGCCAAGCACTCCTCAAAAGAAAACTTTTGCACCTCTCGAAATTAGACTCTCTGGAATTAGGGATAGACTCAAATCTATACCTTTCAAAATATTTCCGAAAAGTCCACCAAATGAGTCGTTCTTATTCTTCGGTGGGTTCCCAAAGAATATTTGGCCAATTTTCTCTAGGTAGCTATGATATGTGGGATCAACATCCAGGTGCGGCTTATACGCTTCAACCAAATGGTCAAAAAGTTTCACCTGAACAAATTTAATGACCTTCACAGGAACTTGTTTACTATAAGCAAATCTCACATCATGAAGATTAAGTGCACTACAGAGCATTTTGAGAAAGTTGAACAGTTCCTGGCGACAACCATTGCAAGACGGTGACTCGTTCAGAATTGCCAAATAGGCCGTCAAAAGTTTGGATGCCGTATGAACACGGTGCATTGCTAAGAGCTGCAAATAATTCTGTAAGATATACCTAGAAGATTATTCAGAGGGAGTGTTAACAGGTGCACTGTAGATAGGCCCTACATCAACTTTTAGCCATAGAACAGAGAGAGGGATTCACTGAAGTGTCTTCCGTTAGGTTTTACCTTCACAATAGGTCCTGCCCAACCGGTGATCTTATGGAAGATCCATACAGTAGTAAGCATCTTTAAGGAAGCCAGAATCAAAAAATGGATTTCTACCAAACCCATTCTTTCGTATATTCAACCCTTTAGAATTGGCTGTGTTTATTTCCTATTCGGTCAATAACGATAAGGCAAAGCTTCAGTTTTTAGCATTAGAATTTAACAATATTCATGCAAAAGCTTTTAATTTCAGAGACGTCAACCTTCGACGTCAGGCGCAAATATATAATTATATCTGTACACGTAATAGCCAAGCTGTATTCTATGCCTCCATTGGCCGACGCTTCAAATTAACGCAAACTAGACATTTAAAAAACATCAGCAGACCACTTTATCGGCTATCATTATTCACACTCTAGCCCAACATACCTGCAGGAAAGGAAGTACGCAGAAAATCTCTGCCTCCGATGATTTGCTGCCTCCCTCTTCGCGGATAGTGTGTAGTAGTTTAGCGAATTCCTCAAGATAAACTATGTGAAGACGTTAAAATGGGCAGGACAGATTAACATACTTCAGGATGATCGGCGAAGAGCATGTGATTTCGAGCATTCACGTAGTTTCGGTGATGTAAAAACGCTTGAGCAATCACGTAGTGTAATTCACTGAGGCCATGCTTCCGCTCCCGACGTCTGCTTGCAACAGTTTGAGACCTAAAATGTTGTTACTTCCATTAGGAAGCTTGTCGAAAAACGTGAAATGGACTTACCATTTCACACATGTAGAAATAAACTTGTTCAATGAATCTGCGCTAGGGATGGGAAAACTCGGATCACAAAGCTGCAGAAGCAACTGCAACAAAAGGAAATTTCAAGAGAAAAACAACATTAAATGAATCATCCCATCTTATAAACAGAAATATAACCACCCACAGAAGACAGCTGCTCGAAAATTTTCTCGGAGGGTTCAGTCTTTGACTTCAGTAACGTTTCTGCGTAGAGTTCGGCAAGATCGAGAGCGCTCAGTGCTTCTTTCACTAAAATATGCAAGGATCCAGTTATCCAAAATCCCCAACTTCCGAAAAAAAAAGCTTTTGTTCTTTTCTAGGATGACCACGAAGGGTGGACTGCGAACGAGCTTACGGAGTTGTATGCATGAGCATATTTTCGTTGTTACGAAGACGCATGGACCCTATTTATTATATGATCTGGCATTACACGTTGAAATACCATGCATAACCTCAAGCAAACATGCCAAATAGCAAGCAGGTCAACAAAATCCTTCATTTCACGATGACTTGGAGACTTTATAAAATAGTAAAGTGAATACGCGCCAAATACAGTTTGAGACTTACCATCACCGAGTTTCTTCGATCCGTTGCAAAGAATTTGGAGCAAATCATCATACTGTTCCTGTTGCGTCTTCCGAAAATACAAAGTACGGTAGACTTGATGAGCCTCATAGAACTCTCCCCTATCGATGCAGTCCTGCGCTTTTTTCTCCAGTCGAGAAGGCTGAAATTCAGCAAAATGTAAGGGATAACAATGGGGTGAAAGTGTAGGGTGAGGGACGTCCTTCGGAAAAAGGCTCCAAACGAAGTAGTTAACTAAGTAACAATTCAACTAACCTGAGACATCCCTCTAGAGGTTCCTACCGCGTGCAGGTGACCGAGAAAACGGACAAACTGTGCTTTCTGAAACTACATTCAAAGCCGAATAATGGACACTACTTATCGAATACAGGCTTTTAGTTCGGAAAAGAGACAAAAATTCGTTTATAAGAAGAACTCGGTCCTGGTAGCGAAAATGACAGTCATCTATGACGCTGGAGCAACTTTGTAAAATCACTTCTAACACAGAACTCGTGACGATCAGCGTTCTAATCATAAATGTGGCCCTATTTATAGTAACAATGATAACAATAACTTGGCATACAGCCATAAAGCAAGTCTTAAACAAAAAGCAAAATTTGATGGCACACTAAATTGACTCTTAAATACACCAAACCACCCCCCACATTGCCACTTTTAAGGTCGAATGTCTTTCTTGACATCAGGGAACGAATTCTTGCTATAGGAGGGTCCCTAAGAAATCCGAGGTTGTGCTGTTATAATAGATGGCTTGCCTAACAATATAGAGGTGATACGTTCAAAAAATTATGGGAGCCCACACATGGGAAAGCGGGAGCGCGCTCCTCCACATGGATAAATGCCAACGCCGTTTTCGGTTGTGTGAAATCGCGTCCTTTTTTGATTCACACGTAATATTACGTACTTGATCATTCTTTTTCTTCGATTTGACTCATCCGTCAGGGGTTGTTTCGCTGTTTCGAAACTGGAAATCTAACGTCTTGCGCACACATGGGAGTTCAAGCGGACTTCCTTATTCTGTATGGATCACACACTGGACAGGCGGAATGCATATCGAAACAGATCAAGGAAAAAGCCGAAATAGTGGGGCTTAAACCTTGCCTCTTCACTCTAGATGACAATGAGAAAGAGGT